GTTTAATTAGTCCAACTTTAACAAACAGTTATCATTTTGTGTCAGTTAAAACAAAAAAAGTTCACAGAAATTTGCCGAAAATGCAAACTTATCCTACATCAGAGAGAACTGACTACTAATTAGGTGAATTGCGTGGTAGGAATTAGGTGAATGCAGTGTTACAAATGAATGCTTCTATACAAAAACTCACCTTTATTTTTTTCATAGAATTCGAAAATCAATGAATATATAGGGTGTTCCATTAGAAAAAACACAACTTTGATGTGTAACTTTTTTTGGGGACACCCTGTATAATTTTATATATTTTTATAAAATGTTTTGAGTTAACCTACATATGCTGCCAAAATTTCATTTCGATATAAACTACCGCGTTCTCCTTGGGGCTTCCGCGACGTATGAGGGGCGCCACCCTGTATATTATTTAAAAAATCAAAAGACTAATAAACTTGCTTTTCAACGATATGTCAGATTTATATACCTAAACCTTCCGGTTTCTTAAATAGAGCCTATCTAAAAATTAATTCTATTCTTATAATCAACTTAATATATGCCAATATTAAGGACCAAATTTTATAATAATATGGTTATAATACGGTTCTGCCTAGTCCGAAACAACGTACATTCTGACGATATCCTTTCAGGCAATTATACCCGAAGATTTATTACCTGATTAAAATCATTAATTGCACTCAAAATCGCGAAATATATATTTCGAATTGTATTCCGTTTCGCGTATTTCGGTCCTGTCATTCCTTTAAATAGATTGCCTCTATTATAGCATAATTTGTACTATTCAGTTGTACAGGTTTATCGCTAATAAAATGTATTATTTGCTGTAAATATATTTTATTTTATTACCCGACCGCAGATATTGTAAATGACAGTGAACAAAAATCCGTACCTACAGTACGCTTTTGGACCTATTAATTAGTTTTAGTAGTTTATATAACAACTGATGTCCTCATGTATAAATTATAGGGTGTCATAATTTAGATTTGAGAAACAAAGCTTCTTCTCATGCAACACCTGAGAACCTTAACGATTTAGGTACTTTGTAAATGTAGCGAAAAACTTAACTAATACCATATGTCCTTCTCATGATCCACTTTCAAATCTCTCTAATGATAATGTAAGCTTACACAGATTCTTTTTTTCGCCCGTAGTTTTAGAAGAGCTTCGCAGTACAATTAATACCATCAAAAATAAATCCTCATCTGGGACCGACGGGCTAACTTTAAAAATGTTTTCGAATCTGCCAGAAAGCACTCTGAATCACCTAACTACTTTAATAAACATGTCATTCCAAAATGGTATTTTTCCAAAATGTCTTAAGACGGCAATAATCATTCCTCTGCATAAAGAAGGAGACAAAGATGAAGCTTCTAACTATCGCCCAATTGCACTCCTTCCAACACTATCTATATAAGATCATAGAAAGGTTGGTTAAAAAAAGGCTGGTATCTTTTCTGTTTAAGTACAAAATACTTACTGAATATCAATTTGGATTTCTAAGCAACAAGTCCACAAATGACGCTATGTTTTCCCTCCTTAATAAAGTTTACTCCAGCCTAAATAACCATTATTCTACAGCAACAATTTTCTGTGATTTTTCTAAGGCGTTCGATTGTGTAAATCATAAGATCCTAATTAATAAACTGGAGCACTATGAGTTCAGGGGAACATCTCACGAATGGCTTAAGTCGTATCTGAGCAACAGAAGTCAACTTGTGAGGGTGGATACCACGTTGTCTTCTAGCAAGCCAATAGAATGTCGAGTCCCACAAGGCTGAGTACTAGGCCCTATTTTGTTTCTTCTTTTTATTAACGAGATTGCTAACATAAACATCAGTGGCAAAATATTTCTTTTTGCGGACGACACTAGCTTCACTTGGAGCAACAAGGACGTCACGGCACTTCATAGGATTATATCAAATGATTTAATCACCATTAAATCTTGGTGCGACTCGAACCTCCTGAGTCTCAACATTTCTAAAACTAAAGCTTTGTCGTATAAAAACTCGCTGCAGCCTTTTGTACTTAACAACACCTCCATTGACGTCGTAAAATCTGTAAAATTCTTAGGGCTTGTTGTAGACAATTCCCTGAAATGGGACATACATATCGAAGCTTTGTCGAAAAAATTGAGCTCTGCCTGTTTTACATTAAGATTAGTTTCTAAGGAGCTTAACTTGTCTTCAGTGGCTAGAACTGTTTATTATGCACTTTTTGAGTAGCACCTCAGGTATGCCCTTCCATTCTGGGGTACGTGTTCTGCGACTCAATTTGACCACATTTTTAAGCTCCAGAAGAGAGCTGTTCGATATTCACTGGGACTAAACAGCAGAACTCATTGCCAGGACTTTTTTAAGAAATTAAAAATATTGACTCTTCCTTCCTTATTTATATTTGAATCCGTTTGCCTAATACGTAAGCAAGTATCAGCTTCTCAAGAAAGGCCATCTCACACTTATCTACTCAGGAACGCGGAGCAAGATCTTTATCTACCTACCCCACGCTCAGAGTTAGTTAAAAGTTCAATATTATACAATTCGAAAAAAATGCACAATCACCTGCCATTTGAAATCAAATCCAACATCATTTTCTTCATTTCGCAAAGCCATTGAACTCTTATTTACTAGACAAGGCTTTCTACGCCCTAGAATGAATTATATTATGATAATCGAATTTGATTTTCAAAATATAATTAATTTATAAACACTGGTCTAATGTTTGCTATTGCTATATTTACTAATGACATCAAAATAAATTTATATAGAGGTCATTGATATTTACTATAAACTAGCTAAATATTTTTGAATGTTGTTTTTATTTTTTTGTTCTTTGACATTGTAAACATTTATAAATGTCTATTCTAAACAATAAGACTGACAATATTATTTGTATAATGTTTTGTATTATCTTTTGTTTGTTTGTGTACCTTATTGTTTGTTTACTTTGGTTGTTGAGTTTACCTTTGTCTACAAATTGAAAAAAATTTTGACAATGAAGGCATTTATTTATTTATTTAGATACAACCACATTGGATTAAATTTTTCAGCTATCTATTGGCCTGTAATAGGTATCAATAACTTATTGCGAAAAATGTCTATACCTATGTGGCGGATTCATCTCTCCAAAAAATCCTATATGGGTATTTCGCCACTGCAAGAAAATCTACAAAATGAAATAGTTATCGTATAGTATATAATGAAACACTTCTGCGTTAATCCAAACGGAAACTACTTGTCAGAAGTTAGGTTTACAGATATACAAATTTGCCTAACGAACAAAAAAATGCTTAACGTTTCGGAAAGTTTATCTCTTTCCGTCGTCGGAAGCAAAAAAATACAAAGAATAAAGAAAAAAACTATTTAAAATATTTAAATTCAACTATTCGAGAACACTAGTTTTTTTAAAACAGATACGTCTACAAAAACCGTTGACGTTTCTGTTAAAATGACACTATATCAGACGAACATTGTTTTTTTTAGAACCTCTTTTAGTGCGAAGTGTACAAGATTTTTTTTTTGTAAAAGCATCATCGCAGCTTTATTAGAATATTTTGAACTGGAAGTAATGGCCCTTTATATCCCTTAAGTATACTCTGTTTTTTTTTTCTCAGGTAACATTTCGACAGACGATGACAGGAAAAAAGCAGATGACTTCCATACCAATCTATTTATTTCACTAAAAAGTCTCTTGTTGTTTTTAACCAGTTTTATTGGTTTATTTCAAAAACGACAGATCATATTTCAATATTATTGGTTTGACGCAACGATGAACGACAAACGGACTCCGATGCGTATGAAAACTCGACTTATGATTTTTGAGAGTTGTCAAACTCTTGCCAAATTATAGGTTATAATTTTGTGTCAAATTATGTCAATGATAAATATTTTGCATTTTGGACTGTGTTGTTACTTGTTTCGTGTTTTTTAAAATTGAGTGGAGGAAAACTCGAAGGAAAATTAAGTGTTGACCCAGACCATAATTTACAGTTAATATTCGGTGCTCAGAGACCGCCAGAAACACAGTTTGCCAGAGAGTTGTATTAGCCACAAATAAAGTTGTATACTATCTCGTATATGGTACCAAAAACTGGAGTATCTGTAAAATAACATCACACGATTAATAAATACGGTAAATAATACATATTAATACTGCAGAAAAAAAAAATAAGATAAAGTTATTTAAACAAGATTAGATTTTTTCAGTTTTATGCATTTTTTTCACAATATTTTGAAGTAATCACTTGTCACTTGTCACTCAAGTTCCAATTGTACCAACTTGTTCCTTTGTAAAATAAAAAAACTACTGTGAAATTAAAATGACAGACACATCTATCACTCTCAAGGATTTTGTCGTTGGACAGACTATAGTGTTAAGGAGGCGAGTTTTGTTGATGTAAATAATAACTGTTTATATATTTATAATTAATTTATTTTTGTTTCCTCAGATATTTTGATTAAAAGAAAATATGTAAAACAATACAATGCTGTACTGGTCAAGCTTAAGCACGTGACTAAAAGTTTATTTAAAGACAAATTTTTGAACAGGGTGTCCAAAATTCAAGAGTGAAATAAGGCATTCATAGCATACCTACCTCTGTAGATTTTTTTAATAAACATGACCATGTTTTCTAATATTTTAGAAAACTCTTTTTACCAATAATATAGCCAAAACGTTCTTCTCTATTATACAGACCACAAAAATTGCTAAAAAGGCAAATATTCATGGAAAAGCATGGTATTCAGGCATTCGTATGCAAAACTAAAGCTAATGTCTAACGGTAAAGTAATAAAGCCCTTTATTTCGCCAAATCCTGACAGTCTGGAATATCTGCAAGATTTATGAGTCTATGCCGAGGACGCAAAGGCAATAGATCACAATATCATACTTAATCTAGTTTACTTCGTGTCACTTATTTCCACTTTCCTAAACATCCATAGAAAAGTACTCAATCACTTTATCTAAATTTTTATTCCTTATTATTTTTATATCGCGAACCAAATATTTTACATAAATTTTTAAAAATATATGCCTGAAAAACAAATACAACGTATTTGCTACATTAGACAACCAGTTAAACACACTAGAGATTGATTAATAAAAAGAAGAACTGAAACTAACCTAAAAAAAATATTTTTCATAAACATCAAAACATTATAAGATTTCAAAGGATTTACTTGATTTACGTTAAGTAAAATAGAAATAACACTTTTAGGAAATATTCGTAATGGGTAAAACGATACCACTGAAGATCAAAGCGCAGTTAGAAAGCGTTGAAGAACTTAAAACATGCCACCCAGATTTTTCGTTCTCCCTCAAACTGAAATGCACTGGCTGCGGTGAGATATCAGATAAATGGCACGATGTAACTGAATCTGAGAAATATCCGGGCAAAACAGGCCGGTCTGAGAATAATTACATTGCAAAGTGTAAAATGTGTGGCAGAGAGAACAGTCTAGACATTATATCTGGAAGTAACGGTAACTTTCAAAAAACCGCATTTTTTGTTAGTTATTTTTAAATAACTCTTACCAGAAGATTTCAGTCATAGTGATGAAGTAAAGGACATTACTAGAACCTCTTTTAATTCATCTAATATTCATTTTGTTTGTGAGATCTGAGACAATATTCTAATATCATTCAATTTCAGCTTCGTATACAATTGAGGATTCTGAAAAATTCAAAAGCATAGTTTCATTCGATTGTCGTGGAATTGAACCAATTGAATTTCAACCAGGTGATGGCTGGATTGTGAAAGTTGCAGAAAGTGGGAAAATATTTACTGATGTTGATTTAAAGGAAAAAGAGTGGGTTGAATATGATGAAAAAATACAACAATCTGTTGGAATATATGAGTTTGAATCTGAACTTAAATAAGAATAAAATATTAACGTTATCATAATAAAGATGTTTTTATAAACAAAGTATATGATTTATTTTTTTACATACCTGCAATAATGATCATATAATATGCTTGTGAGGTATGTTATATTTTGAACAGAAATATATGTTTAATCTTAGATAAGCATTACCCAGTAAAGTTGAAAAATATGTAGGGTTTCTAATAAATACAACATACGTAAAATTATATTTCCCATATCATATGGTTTCTGTTTACATTACCCTATGAAGCTTCCATAAACATATGAAAACAAAATAAGAATAGATTTTTACTTGAAATATTGTTCTTCACTCTTTATACTTCGTATTTTGGCAATAAAGCATGGTTATTCAGGACATTAATGATAGTATTTATAGAATTAAATGTCCAACATTGCAAAAATAGTCATGGAATGCAGTTAAATGTCCCCCGCTGACATCATCCAATGACGTAAAACGAGATTCCCGCTCGACCGGCCAAAATCTGTCAGATGTTCTTATGCCTAACTTCAGCATTGTTATGGCTGTCAGCTGCGGAAACAGGTGATAAGAGTTAAAAACAAGTCCTCGATTTTATGTGTTTTTCTGTGAAAATATAAATGAAAGTGTCTCCATTTGTTGTTGAGTGATTTTAACAAAGTGTGGATTAATCATAATATATCAAATAACTCGAAAAATGTGTCCGATTTAAGCCAGTTTTTGCGATTTAAATTTGTTGTGATTGTTCATTTACCGTTTCGAGTAAGTATGCAACCCATCGTACAACTCCCATTCCGCCTAATGTTTTTCCCTTTAATAATTAAATAGATGGTTTTTAATAACATTTGGGTGTTTTTAGTGCAAAATAACATATCTGGGGTGGTATAAAATCAGCCTAGAACGCTATATCCTGGAAAAAGGAGCTTTGAAAATCCTGTGTGAAGTTGGCTATGCACAGGAACGAAAAGCTTTGCCCGCCTAAAATTTAACCATTTTCCTGACTTGGCGGGATAAAAACAGGGTGCTAGGATATTTTTAGTTGGTTATGTAGATGCTCCACGTAGCAAAATTTCTGCTGGGATCTTCAACTTGGAAAAGAAACATTCTTCTATCGTTTTTTAACTAAATTTAAGTGCTCGAAGAAGTATTTGTGCCAGAACGCAGTGATAAAGTTCCTACTATCTCAAAAGCGGAAGGATCAGACTTTAGAATTTTTGGGGCCGAATCTTGGGTGGTAAGTTTATTACTATTATATCATTCAGACATTCAGGACTTTTGTGCACCTGTTAAAGACAGTTTTGAACCATTTGATCTTGTATTTTTTTGTGAAATAAAGATGGAAATTTGAGGGTTATGTGCACAATGAGGTGTGGTATGGTCGCACATTTTGGGGAAAATTGGCTTTAATTGGATACTTTTCAATTTTTTTCTTTTGGATATTGCTTCCTGGATTTGTAACGATCAATACAAGCTATCGACCGGCTTATTATCGCCCCGATTTTTGAAAATATCAAAGTTGAAAAAAATACATTCGAAGGGCACCAAAGTGTCTTTTGATGGAATCCATTTTCAAGCAGTATGAGTATATTATGGACAAACTATTTTCTGGTATTCTTCTCTCCTATTTTAGAATCATTTAAAATTTAAATACCCATATTTAAAAGGCTTGTACAACGTGCATTGACCTTTAACTTGGCATTAGTTATTTTCAAGGTATTGTGAAAGTGAATACAAGAATAGATATATTATTTGAAATATCGTCATTTCCAGAGCAAAATACGATATATCATAGATTATAAGTAGACACATGAGCCTTTTAAATTTTAAAGATCCAAAAATGAGGTCATATAATTTCACTTATGTAAGCCAAAAAATTCTTTAGAAAATACTTAATTGTTTGTACTTTAATTGTTGTGATAAATATGGTCTAGATTTCTGAAGGTAATTTTAATTAATTAATATAAACATTACCTAGATATTTAAATAAAATTTAATACATTTAAGATTGTTAATAACCATGCACATGCAGTGGGTGTACAGATAGAAATACTTAATTCAATAAATAAATTTATAAAGAGCTTAGAGTAATTTCTATTTTAAGGGGTTGTTATTGAATATTACATAATAAGGGTGCTACTCGAAGGGGTAATTCGAACATATATTTTTGTTGAGTCCATTTTTTCAGTGTGCATCTTTTAAATTGCAGAATAATATTATTATAAAAATGACTGACAAATATGAGTGTGAATTATCTGAAAACCTGGATTACACTACCAATAACAGTCCTAGTGACGCTGAAAACAATGAATTACTTAATAAATTGGAAGAAGAAAACTATGCAGAAAGTACTAAACTACCCTTTCAAGAATTATTAAAAATGCACCATAAACAAACTGTTTGGGGTTTCAAATATGGTGAAAATATTAGGGCCAGTGCATTATCTAGGGACAAAAATTTGAAAGAAAGCAATGAAAAGAAAAGGGATAATGATTTAGATGGTAAGTTCTGTTATAGCAAAATACATGTCTCCAATATTACTATGGATAATATGCTTTAATTTTAGGTACTGATAATTCAGATTGTATTAATAGCGAACCTGGTCCATCAACATCCATAGCTTGTACGACAGAAAAAGAACACAAAACACCCCATTCGAGGAAAGACTGCAGAACCACCAGGAGCAGAACTAGCAAAAGGAAGAATAGTTGCAAACAAGACTTTGGTTCACCTAGAAAGACTCGAAAGGTTCCATTACCTTTGATGAACTGGGCAGACAGCAAAGAAGTTTGGATGTTTATGGTAAGGAAATACAACATATAATTTATTTATATCTTTTGCTGTTTATTTGGCATGGTAACTATCTTTATGTACCTTCTTATTCATATCTATTAAACCTGCTAGTTTTCAGATAAGATTTTTGTATTTGAGTTCTCACATTTCAGGTATTTGTTTACCTTGAAATGATAAAAATGTCTTATATATATTTTTTAAAGGCAGCATACTATATTCTTTTATATACTTATTCATTAAAATATTGAAATACAAGGATGTGATCTTTTTAAAGGTCTATAAAGAGGAAGCTTCTCTGAATTTGAGAAATCCACGTCTTTTTGAGGACTTCACAAATTTCATGCCTCGCATGAGAGCCATCTTGTTAGACTGGGTGATGGAAGTCTGCGAGGTCTATCACCTCAGGAGAGTCACCTACTATTTGACAGTAGACTATTTTGACAGATTCTTGTCTTTGAAACCTGATGTTCCTAAAAATCAACTACAATTGGTAAATTTTTAAACCAAAAATTGAAAATAATAATACTAAAAATTAATTGACTTTTAGGTGGGAGTTACATGTCTATTTTTAGCTTCTAAATTAGAAGAGGTGTATCCACCGCGTTTGACTGAATTTTCGTATGTTTGTGACGGAGCCTGTACTCCTGAAGATATCCTGAATTGTGAATTATTAATTTTAAATAGTTTGGGATGGGATTTGAATGTTATGACGCCCACTGATTGGCTTAATTTGTATATGCAAATACACTTTCAGGTAATTTCAATGTCTTTTTAATTATTAGACATGGGTTTTTTATGTGTTTCTTATTTTTTTTAGGCCCCAACTGTAATACGTCAAAGACTGCACGAGGACACAACAAGAAACTTCTTGTTTCCTCAATATTCCGGATATCAATTCACCAGAGCATCACAGATGATAGATGCTTTTAGTCTTGATCCAGGTATAATAAACTCAAAAATTATTTTTGTTATATTGTTTTTCATGATTTTCTTTCAGGATTTCTAAAATTTTCATACAGTACCATGGCAGCTGCTGCTGTATATTTCATGTATGGTAAACAGCCAGCTCTGGATGTGTCAGGGTTGACATGGGAACAGCTCCAACCCTGCGCCGAGTATATGGCTGCTTTCTATTTAGTTTTAAGGGATACTCCAGATCCAAGGTATTAAAAGTGATGGTTTATTTTAAAGGTATATTTTTTTAATTTTTGTATATTTTTTTCAGACTGATCAGTTGCAAATCTGATACACCACAGGAGGACCAAAGCCAGCCACATTTGGCTTCAATCAGGCAAAAGGTTCCTGAGTTGGTTAAGGATGAGAATCACAGTTTGCAGACTCATGTGGTGAATATGGAGTACTTTGAGAAGTCTGCTATTATTAGGTGAGTGAAATAAACAATTTTCTTATTTTTTTTGTAATATTAAGATAATATATAATATACTGTTACTTGTTTCTGAAGTATTTAACTAATGTTTCTGTTTTCTTATTGCTTGCAAATATGGAAGGGTAAGTATTTATTGATATCTTTGTTAGTTTTAAATAAATGTGACAAAGAAAATTCTTCTGGATTGGTATTCTATCTTCAACTGAATCTAACAAAATTTTTATTTTTAATTTGTGTCAAAAATAATGTAAAAATTAGGAGGAGTATACAGAGGATCTGTTTTTCAAGAACTAATTGGACTCATTTACAAATAAAAAGAAATGTATTTTTTAAATAATTTTGAAAATTTTAGACAATATTTACATGAACTGAAGTCTTGTATTGAGCTATTTTAAATGTAATACTGGACATGTTAATACAATTTCCAGTTTTATGATAAACATACCTAGTGTATAATGTTCTATACCGGGTGCGTCTCTAAAAAAACGAGATTTGGTATGTTAGTATATGACATAAATTAGGATTGATTGACGTATTCAATTGTTTTTGGTCACTTCCTGTTTCACCGGAAATGACTATAATTTTTGATTTTTAAATGGCACTCTCGGTATTTTTTTACTTTATTCGATAGAAAATGACATTCTGAATAGAATGACATATCATATGTCAACCTTTGACATTCTTGCTTAAATAAAATTGAATTTTAAAATTCAATCTAGAGTGCTATGGTTATGTTAAAAACACTAATTCTTAATCAAGGAACCTTGGAAAAATAGATTTGATTGTCTAATGTTTTTAGTGTCTTATGGCCAGTTAGAAAATGCTCAAATCGTATTTTTAATCATATCTCAATTTTTTCAAATAGCCATACACTTACCATACACTAGGTATTTCGAGTCAAATTTTCGTTACGAACCGCAAGTTATAATTTCAAATAAACCATATGCGAAAATGTCAAACGTTGACATCTGATATGTCATTCTATTCAGAGTGTTATTATCTATCGAATGAAGTAAAAAAATACCGAGGGTGCCATTTAAAAATCAAAAGTTGTAGTCATTTCCGGTGAAACAGGAAGTGACCAAAAACAATTGAATACGTCAATCAATCCTAATTTATGTCATATACTTGCATTCCAAATCTCGTTTTTTTTTATCTGAAAAAATAAAAAAGTTATAGGGGTGAGCCACTTTTGAGACGCACCCGGTATATAATTTGTTGAATGAGAGAATATGAAAGATATTTTCTGACATTTTAATTCAAATTAAATTGTCTACTGATGTCATTTTTTGACTATGTCCAAATCTTCCTTTTTTTGCTGTTCATATTTTACTTTTATAATGCAGTTTTAACGTTTAATATAAGAACTTCAAATAACTTACGATCATTTCTCACTATCACTCTCAAGAATGCCATATCTTACTACCTCAATGCTAAAGAAACCCCAATTTTGGTATTATAGATTAGAACAAATGGGACTTAAAGTTGAAAAAACCTATGTAAGCAAGAAGAAAAACAAAGAAGAAAAATCCCAGAGCGACTTGAGCGAGGATGAGTCCAAAGAAAACCGTCCTCAACCTGAAGAAACCGAGGATGACCTGATCTGCATGTACGACGTGGAGAAGATTTCTTGCGATGCTGTGGCCCTGGATGATTCGGACATAAGCATATCCAACGTTTCGTCTCCCGATGCCGACATCTTCCTATCTGACGACAAAGCCATGCTCAGCTTCGACCAGATATTAGATGGTATAGTAAAATGCAACCAAAAAAATATACCCGTACCTCCTCAGTCCCCCAGGGCGGAAATAGAAGAAACCCTGGATAGGTTAGAGTAGTTAATAGGATTGATCTTAGGTAGGTTTTTAATCATTTTCAATTGAAACGTTTATTTTTATAAGGGTGTATGTGCCAGCATGGTCATAAAAAAGGGCCCTAGGGTGGGGATCCTTGACAGTTCTGTTTGACGATTCATTTGACACATTTGATCATAGATAAAGGAAATAAATTGAGATTGGAATGCCCGTCAAAATATATAATTGTTATGGGTCGCGACCGTTGTACGCGATCTGGCGCTGCTATAGCGGTTGCTATCAGATTGTTAAGAACAACCGCTAAACAATGACAGAAATAATTTTCTCTTGTCAAAGCCAGAATCTTAAAAAAATCTTTCAAAATTTAAACTGCCCTCATTGAAAAAATACCGAAAAGTGTTTAAATCGTCCATTCTCAAAGTAATTATTGCTATTTGGTGAGTTTAATTTAAATTTTATTTACTCAAACCCGTGATAATTGTGAAAAAGTGGGATTAAAAAATTTAAAAAAGCTGTATTGTGAACTGTGAACTGCAAAAACCATCGTGGATCGTGGCATAACGTCGGTTTCCAATGTTTCGTAGGTATTTCATACATGTCCTTAAATGAAATAAAGTTTCTTGTACGCAACACCCTGTATTATATTTATAAAATTAAAAGAAAATAATAATAAATTTGAAGAAACAATATTTGGCGACATAATTCCGGAAAATGCCGAACCGATCCGAAATTATCAAAAGCTTTGGGCCGCGACCGTTACAAGAATAGCGCCAATTTATCACTTTCCAATTTAAACTTGTTTCATTTATCTTTGCATTTAAATTTGATTTGAAATTTTGTGGATTTGTCAGTCTTTACTAAGCCTATATTATTATTTTCTAGTGAGTTATATTATTTATTCTACTATTGATAGTTGTTGAAAGGTAGTAAATCCAGAAGAAAATTGTAGCAGAACTTAAATTAACAGTGACACTACTGCGATTTATCGAAAAAGACTGTAAAATAGTTGGTCGTGTAGCGTGCGGTAGATCTCGGTCAAAAATCGAGGGAAATAATGGAATAATTTTTCTCTAGTAAGTGACTATACAATACGTGTATACATACAGGGTGAGTTTCCTACGATGTTCTCTATGAGTATCTCGGAAACTACTGGAGATAGAGAGTCGGTTAAATGGGGAAAGAATTGCAGTTTTGTGGGATCATAAATATGCGCCTTTCAGATTTTTGAAAAAGTGCATGGCTTACTAGATATTTCGAAAAAAACAAATTTCGGCTATTTTGAAAATTGTCCCTAATTCCATTATAATCTATTTTATACAAAACGTTTTCAGATAAAAGTTGTAGAAAATCACATCTTTAATGAGATTGTGTCCTTCGTTTTTTTCTAAAGCTTGTCATTTTTGATATATGACACAAACATATGTTTTTTTAAATGGAAACCATAGTTGGCCAGGACTTCATAAAAAGCGCCATTTTTAAGCTTTTTAGCGATATAAGCTATAATATGTTTTCTTCGAAAGATTACTGAGTTATAGCCAATTCTTATCATTTTTAAACAATTTCACTTAGTTAGCTATGGAAACAAGTTTAATTGTCTTTGCTCTCGTAAATGTGAAGCTGTCACATCCAATCTTTGTGAATTAAAATAAACAAAAATTGTAAATATGGATTTATCAAATGAAGAAAAGCGTGTAAGATTATTGGTTCAACTTTTCTTGACCATACATTTTCGAGGATACGTTGACCGGTGAATGTTACGTTTTTTAGAGAACGGTTTTCAAGACATGTTAGAAAAGTTAAATTTAGTTATACCCAATTCTTATCTTTCTTGACTAATTTCACTTAGATTGCATGCTATTCTTATTCTGTTATGATTTATAACTTATAAAAAGTCAGAATATATTACTAAACGGTTCTATTACACAAACTAAAACTTAAAAAAATAATATCACTACATACACTTTAAATTATTTTAGAAAATGTTCAAAAATCCGCCATTGTTTTGAGTTGCATCTTTTTAAAACTGAATTACTACTTATTCTCACAGAAGGATCAGTCGACTTAATTAAACTTTTCTCGTACCGCCACTTCGAGTGCCTCTCTTAATTCATAAGTTCTTTTGTAAACCCTTATTGTTAACTATACCGCATAAAAAATTCTAAAATGGATAGGTCAGGTCGAGGGGTGTCTCACTATTGGAATTACCTGTACATTTCCTTGGCAGTCGCTGGCAGTCATTGGAAGTCTTATGGCAGTCGCCTATAATAATTACATGGCAGTCATAGACAGTCTTCTTCATAGTCATTCGCAGTCACTTAGCAGTGGAAGGATATTTTGGCAGTACGTGTACATTTTTTACCCGAGTGAGACACCCCTCGGGTCAGGTGATCGAGGAGCACCATGCAATTAGTCCACCTCTTCCTATCCCTGCGTTTGTATAATTATGATATAAATAATTTTTAAAATTTCTTTCATTATGAAGGGTGGGGGGTGGTGTGTCATACTGAAAGTCATGTTGGAACCACTCTATTGATGCGCGAGTATCTACACGCTTTTCTTCATTTGAAAAATTCATATTTACAATTTTTGTTTATTATAATTTACAAATTTTGGATGTGACAGCTTAACATTTCTGAGAGCAACAGCGATGAACTTGGTTCCATGGCTAACTAAGTGAAATTATTTAAAAATGATAAGAATTGGCTATAACTCAGTAATTTCGAAGAAAAGATATTATAGCTTATATCACTAAAAAGCTTAAAAAATTGCGCTTTTTATGAAGTCATGGCCAACTATGGTTTCCATTTAAAAAACATATGTTTGTGTCATATATCAAAAATGACAGGCTTTAGAAAAAAACGGAGGACACGGTCTCATTAAGGATATGATTATCTACAACTTTTATCTGAAAATTTCTTGTCTAAAATAGCTTATAATGGAATTAGAGACAATTTTAAAATAGCCGAAATTTGTTTTTTTTAAATATATCTAGTAAGCAATGAACTTTTTCAAAATCTGAAAGGCGAATACGACCCCACAAAACTGCAATTCTTTTTCCCTATTATAACCGACTTCTATCTCCAGTAGTTTCCGAGAGATACCCATAGAGAACATCGTAGGAAACTCTCACCCTGTATGTGTAGTAATATTTTTTCTTTGCATTTTTGCTTTTATTTACTACTTGTCAAAGATTGAGATGTCAAGGAATTTAGATACGTCAGTTTGACTTACCTGCTTCAGTAGCGTGTCGGTTATTATATGTATCTATTTTTATTAGAGACTATGGGGTTGTTCACCATATTACACGGAGTATTGTAGCTAACGTATAGATTTTTATTAAAGTTTAAGTTCTGGAAGGACTATTAAAGCTGGCTAATTTAAAAATATTTGACAAGACAGCAAATTAATCCCAAATAAATAAATATATCAAGAGTTTTAATTTTCACACTGGATATATTATTATTATTTTTAATTTTCTACGATTAAAATAAAAGTACATATTTACAGGTTTATTACATCTTGCCCCTGGCTGTTTTTTGGAAATATTTTCAATTTTTGTGAAATTGCAGTATAAATTTTAAGGCATTTCTCCGGTATCAAACTTTTTAATACTAAATATTTACTGAAGCTTATTTTATTGATCAGTTATTGTGCTTATTGCAATAATAAAACTTTACTACAATACAGAGTCTCTAAAATTTATTTTAAATAATTACTAGCTTTTAACACATATTTTATGAGAATCAGATGAATTTAAATGTCTATCAAATTGTATTATACCGTTTTTTCCTATCTCTTCAAGTTTCCGTAAAAAATGCATTTTCTTGTAATTTAGGGACTCATTTATCAATATACCCATGGAATACTGATATTTTAGATTATTTTTAAAGATGTACCAAATTTTTAAAGAGTACAGATACTAATATTGTCGATATAGTTCGTTTATTTCATTAAAAATAAAAAAACTGTTTAAATATTTGTTAAAGAGGACCAATTAGTATGATTCCAGTATTCAAACTACATTAATTGGACTGTTTGCGTGCCATTAATAATAATTGCTTCAAGTACTAAAAAACTGAATTATGTATGTGTATTAGACAGTGTGGTAAAAAAGTAACACCTTAAAAATGATATTTAATTTTTTGACAAATGCTTATTTATAACAACAGAGAGACGTTCATTTTTATAAGTTATTATTATATTGATTTCTTGATTCAAATCCACATTTATTTAAATAATTTTATTAACGAACAATAATTAAGTATGTAGTTAATTAGTATTTTGGCGGAAATGCTGGTGGTATATTTAATTAATGGTATAATCTTTTATAAGATTTAAATAGTTTTCTTTTGTTACATGGGCTAATGTAATATTATCGTTTTTACTAAAACGATAAGCTATTGCTAGCCTACACATTTTTTACATTTGTTGTTTTAAAAACAATCTAAAATGTCAATATTCCATTGGTATATTAATAAATGAGGTCTAAATTATAAGAAAATGCATTTTCTACGAAAACTACAAGGAATAGGTAAGAAGTGGTATAATACAATTTGATAGACAATTAAATTGTGCGTCTGATTCTCATAAAATATACAGGGTGTTCTATTTAAAGTAAATAAGTTATTGCTGTTTAAAGCTAGTAATTATTTAAAATAAATTTTCAGACACTCTGTATAAGGTAGTATGGGCCTTTTATTATTGCAACACACTAACTGATCAATAAATAAACTCCCTGTAAATATTTAGTATTAAAACTTTGATATCCTCGGAGAAATGAAGCCCAAATTTTATACTGCAATTAAAAAATTGAAAATATTTCAAAACGGTAAGGTTTAAGTGTAATAAACCTTAATCAAATTTACCTTTTTATTTTAAATCGTAGAAACTAAAAATGCACACACATAGGTGTTCCATTAAAAATAAAACTTTGATATTTTTTATTTGCTCGGGATACTCTGTATCTTTGTAAAAATAATTTTAAATTGTAGCTCTAATAGTCCTTCAACGAACCCAAAACTTACAATTTGTAAAAATCTAATCGTTTAGCTACAATACTCCGTGTCGTATGTGGTGAACAACCCTGTATATTTTTATAACAATTTTAATAACTACCAACATTTATTCACAACGTAAAATAAAACAACAAATTATTTACCCTACATCATATATTTTTACACGTTTTGAATAAAATTGGAACGGCACTGATAAACCGGAATTTAAGCCATTTTAGGACCCCGTCGCATTCGATCTAAGATTTTTTATATGCCTTTTCCGTAATCTTATTATTCAAAGGCTAGAGTTCATAGTAAGACTTGTGATAGATGTAAAAGCATAATGATGACAGCACAATTTTAAATATTGTCAACTTAATGAAAGTTCTTAA